ACACACACACACACACACACACACACACACACGCACGCACGCACGCACGCACGCACGCACGCACGCACGCACGCACGCACGCACGCACTTATTGCTCTTTTACCCAATCAGCGGCATTGTTACAGATAATTTAACCGCGGATAAATTATTTTTACGGGTAAAATAATAATTTCTGAGTACGATAGTTAACCATGCATAGACGTAAGATTTCTAGGTTGTCTGCCGTTGTATCGTGTAAGCAGAGCATATAAATCACCTGTTGATTGATATGCTCTGATTTAACTGAGCGGCAAGATCTGAAGAACATGAGAATGTTATTCTTTATGACTAATGACGACAATCACCATTGAAAGCGAAGCCAGGTTTACATCAAACCCACTAAGCTATATATCAGAACTGTTGTCTTGTTGCAAGTCCCTGCATCTAAACTGACGTACGTCATCATAATAAGTCATCATAATAAGTCACGTTATCCGAATGTTGCTATGCAGATCTCAGATATCAGATCGTTGATCAAAGACAATATAGAACATCTCACAACTGACCAGAGCATCAAATATAGTTGACTCGATGAGGAACGTGTCTCTTCTTACATAAAGTAGACTAATTGACTTACACCGAACTAGATCTGAGTTCCCATTACACCTTTCACTAGTAGTCAACTCGAAACCAAACTTTTTGCGCAGAAGAGGACAGATTCAGCTAATATTCTCTAACGCTAAAAGATATCCGCTAACAAAGGCACCCGTGCCATTATCACGTAGCATACTGGATATCTCATATGGGCGTACACTCATCATGTTCTGCTTGCATCTATGACAAATACGACATACGCATATTATACGCTCTCCTATGACAAATAGACAAGATTCCTCCGATGACAAATATTGGCGAGTCAACTTCGATTCCGCTTTACAGCTGAAATTCACTGCTTGCGTTCATAATAGCGCTCCTAAACTCCTATGATGCGCACAGCACATACAACAATATTTGTCATAGGAAGAATCTTCCTATGACAAATAGTGTCATAGGAGAGCGCATATATATGCGTATGTCGTATTTGCCATAGATGCTAGCAGAACATGTTGAGTATACCGCAGCTATAGCGTTAACATATCAAAACGCTTGTATTTAGGTGAGCATTTAGTGTAAAGCAGAGTACAACGTCACATCAGTGAGCGTGGTGAGCAGATCTGATAGTTACCTATACATTAAACAAATCAAAACAAATCAGAAACGGAATTACGACCCCACGCACACGTGTATGGCAGGCGAGGTGGGACACAACTGGTATTTAGCGACAGCCACAAAGTCGAGTTAATGTCTATCATATATTCCATTTAGTGACAGTCATTAAATCAACAAATCAGATACAACTTTTCTCAACCAATCATAGGCATGGAATTATTGACAAACACTAAATGATTTAATGATAGACAGTAAATACCATTTGCGTACCACCTCGCCTGCCATACACGTACTCGACTTTAGACCCATACAACATTGCCTAATAATAATAGTTAAATTGTGAGCTTGGAATATAGAGATTTCTCTTCAAATTCATGGTTCTTTCTACACCACGTAAATCTCACCGTACTGTGTTAATCACACTTTTATTGTGCAATATTTACTTCTTTTTTTTCAACATTAGTTAAATTCCCCGTTTTCTTACGTTAACAACGGCGTTTACTGAATTCTTGCGTGTAATAACAACATATTACCGCACACATAAAACAGAAAGCAGCGATTAACTGTATAACTTATACGTGTATATTTATTTCGTCATACGTGATAGTTTACAAGCGCTTTAATATTACCAAGATAACCGGTAGCCAGTCTGCCCCGGTCTTTAAATTTCGCGTTACGCTGCACAGACTGCAGCGGGTCCGCTTAACAAACAACATACACCCACAGTGTAGAACATCGCACCGCATCCTATAACAATACAGTACGTGTAGCTCTCACCATTGATCATATACCTCACAGGACTTACCATCGCTAGTCGATATGCCAATGATCACCCATCTTTTCAACGCCCTAGCTTTCGTAAATCGCTATTATAACAACCGCATTACCTCGTGAAGAGTTCGTGACTGGATTTAAGTAGGTTTAGGAGCGCGAGCGTTGATGGTGGTCCCGGGGGGGGGGGCACCCTGTGTTGACGTTCGGTGTGACGCGAACACAGCCAGGCGACGGTAACACCGCCCACATCACGATCAAAATCGTAAGAAAACCGCGATTTTTACCCCCAAAAAATACGTGGATAAATAATTGATACGCGCACGAACGAACCCCGTCGGAGAGCGACGTTTACGAGACAATCCATCACCCTTCTCGTTCTATCTCATCAGCAAGTCATACACGCACGCACGCACGCGCACACGCACGCACGCGCGCACGCACGCACACACACACACACGGCAAGATGGATGAAGCGCTGATACATCACCCGGAGCCCCACACACAGAACCAGGCCGCGATGAGACTTCCCACGTTAACTACTTGTAGCTGTACTTGACTTGTACTTGTACATGTAAGCAAACCCCGCTCGCCGACACCGGAAACACGTTCGCGATCATCAACGATTCGAACGATCATCAAACGATTTCGAATCAAAATGGCGCCAACGCACAACTACACATATACGCAGCACGGATGAATCTACCCGCTCCCCGTTCCGTAATGTCTTTTGCTAGCGAGAGAAATCGCACGAGAGAGCAAGTCAGCGGCAAGTACACACTTCACGTGCAACAGTCGGTAATTAAACACAGTCGTTAATGAACTTGACACAGACGCCTGTACATCATTCGAGACTGCTATCGGGAAACATACGGCACGCTATTCATTTACATTGAGCTTCAAAACTACCGAAGAGGATATATATATATATCAAAAGTCCATAACAGAAAATAATTTTTTTTTTGAAGAAATGTTCTATTTTGGACTCTTGGTATCTATCTATCTATCTATCCTATATATATATATAATATATATATATATATATATATATATATATATATATATATATCAGAAGTAGATAATAGGGAATATTTTTAATGGGGATACTTCCCTATTATCTACTTCTGATACATATGTATAGGGCCTATAGCGTATTTTTTATCCGATTCGTTGCTTTCGCACTCTGTAATTCATAACGGTAAACATGTCAACTTTAGTCACACAGCGAGAGCGTACACGACTTACTGCCGCCCGCCTTGATATTTCCCGAAGGTTCACAAATAAATACAACACGACCAATAATTTATACGGTAGTCAGTCTCGCATTCTCTTCAATCGAACGCAAACACTGCTGTACATAAGACCATCGCTATTGACTTGGCAGCGAGCCAACACTTCGTTGCGGGCTGGATGTTTTCTCTTTTTCTTAAGTATCTCGTAATAGACGCAGACGTTAGGTTAGATACGGCGGACGCTAGATATAGAGATAGATGCTGACAGACGGACACTTAAGCTAGCAGCACACTTCACCATTTTCGTTGCTCGTACAGACAATTTTCGTGGTCGGCAATTTTTGTGGCCGTTGCCGCGTCACAGCACACTTCACCACAAGTTGCCACCACGAGCAATTTTCGTGGTGAGAAATCAAACCTTGTTCCTCGGTATTTGCCGACCACGAAAATTGCCTGTACGAGCAACGAAAATGGTGAAGTGTGCTGCTAGCTTAACGCGCGCTCTCTTTCTTTCTCTCTCCCTCCTCTCTCTCTCTCTTCTATCTCCCTCTCTCTCTCTCTCTCTCTCTCTCTCGTTGAGGCCTCGCCTCATACTTCATTCATCGTTTGGCTATACATTAATAACGCGATTTCATCCACTATTTACAATCATAGAACCGCTATCGATACATTCGACAGGAATTACACGCACGTGACTATTACACCACGCAAATAACAATAGCAGATTTTAAACAAAAACTCGCTTACAGTAGAGCGGTAATTACCTTTGTTTAACAAACCTTACATATATATTCTCGCTTATTACGGTTAGGTTCAAAGCTATCAAAGGCCACCCTCCCCATCTCTCGTTCACATCGGTTTATTCGGTAAACAGTTCAACTCAGTACATGTTATTGTAGTTCTATTAGTTTCTATTCTATAACTACACCTGTCGTTACTACGATGGCGCGAACTGTCTCCATGGCAACAGAACCACAGAAGTGCCGTCAAACAATTCTTCGTCCCAAACAATACGGTCATCATCGCGACACTTATTTGTCGCACGCTGTCATTGTAGCACGACGCATACACGCATTACACCGGTGACTCAGTACACTGTACACAGTACACATTACTGTACACTCAGACACACAATACGCTCTCTCTATGCATCACACAGACCAGGTAACAACAACAACAACAACAACAGCAGCGGCAGCATGTTTCCGCGACTACCCGCATCAGAGTCTGGAGAAGCGGGGGAGCTATTGAAAAAACTTCGAAAATAATAACGATTATGTTTCCGCGCGTACACTCTGGGAAGTAGGGAGGGGCTCCACTCCTACTCGCGCGTGGAGGCTTGCTTGCTCTCACTGCAGCACCATGGCCTCAGCGCTAACCGGCCGTTAAATCACAGTAATGATATTACGATTACGTCACGCGTTATATATTCCTAGCTACACGTAAAGCTACACATGCAAGCAGCAGCAGCAGTAGCAGTAGCAGCAGCATCAGCATCAGCAGCAGTAGCAGCAGTAGCAGCAGTAGCAGCAGTAGCAGCAGCAGCAGCATCAGCAGCAGCATGTCTCGCCACGTGCATACGGTAACCGCATCGTCATGGCTTCACGCACTTAACGAGAAATGTGATTATTTCTGCTGCATGAGCATTCTTGCCCGGTACCTTCGATTTAACATGATGATGCCTGTTTTGTGAGCTCTCTCTCTCTCTCGCGCGCACCCTCTCTCTCTCTCTCTCTCTCTCTCTCTCTCTCTCTCTCTCTCTCTCTCTCTCTCTCTCTCTCTCTCTCTCTCCTGCGCTCTGCGCTCGCGCTCATCTCCTCCCTCTCTGTCTCACTCTCTCCCTCTCTCTCTCTCTCTCTCTCTCTCTCTCTCTCTCTCTCTCTCTCTCTCTCCCTCTCTGTCTCACTCCCTCCCTCTCCATCTCTCTCTATCTCACCTCCTCCCTCTCTGTCTCTCTCTCTCTCTCTCTCTCTCTCTCTCTCTCTCTCTCTCTCTCTCCCTCCCTATCGCTCTCTCTCACCAGACCCATGTCGTCTCCTCACCCGTGCCCATGTCTATATAACGCTGCTATCGCCGCTATACGTCGCGTTGAACTTGACAGGGTCCCGCCACGACAGTCGGAGGCATATAAAAAGCAACAATGCTGCGACTACGTACGATTCTAAGGTTGCGCGCGCGCGCAGCGACAGTCACGACCCACAGAGTTCTCGCTGAGTTCACAGCCGCCCACGATGATGACATCGATATCCCTGCCTTTCCATTACAGTGTTCGCCTGACCGGAGAACAGAAAGGTCGCCGAAGGTCACATACTGTCCTTGACCGCTCCCCTTGCTCCCGCCGACTGACAGGGAACATGACTCGTGGACGCGCGGTACGTTCCGTTGCCGCTGGGCGATATAGAGGGCGCCGCTGGGCGATATAGAGGGCGCCGCTGGGCGATGTGGCCGCGGCGCGAGCGCACGGGGGGAGGGGGTCGTCGCGACTGCTTGCCGGGGGGAGGGGGAGGCGTGGGTGGTCAGCCATCACTGCAGCAGAATCGTCCGGACTTCGTCTAGGACGCTGGAGAGTAGGTTCGGGTCGTTGCTCTTGCCGTCGATGCTAACGCCGTTGTTTGGCTGCGGAATTCAATTTCGATTAAGCAATTTAGTTTTAATTAATCATTTTGGAATTTAATATAATTTTACTTAATTTTAGTTATTTTTTCGCAGTTGCATTTAATATTAATTTAAATTTTTAACATTTATACTCGCGGACGAGGTATTTAATGTTGTTCTACTTTCATCCAGAAGGCGTGAGACTCAAAACATCTACAATAGCGTCACTGTCACCACAGGCAAACCCGTGGTAGGGGACACCTCTTATAGAATGAACACCTGTCTATGAAAGACACCAAGCGCATCTTTCTTCAGTGATACTTCTGCTGTCAATGAAACCACCATTCTGGAATGAGCATCTGACTATAAAGGGCTCTTTTACGGTTTCCCAGGAGTGGTCCTTATCTAGCAATACTAAACGTATTTTACCATAACCATGTTCACGATTTTTTACCTGCCATCCTAACCCTAACACATGGAAGTCGACAAGTGGACAAGAAAACCGGTTCATTCACAGCGATAACGTCAAGTGACCATTCGCTCGGAAACCAATATGAAACGCACTGCACCATACAGAACACTTATGTAGTAAGGACATCGATCAAAATTCTCACCAAAGTTTTGACTAGTAGCGCCAAATGATGATCTTGTATGGACCTACTGTATAGCGATGCGCTAGAGTCCACAGCTTCGACGACTGCAACAGAAACAAACAACGAACGCGTGTAAAGGGCTTGCCTGATTCTGAGCCTGGACTGTCTCAAATATTCCATCCCAAAGTTTGACAAGCTCATGCAAACTGCGTGCAGTGCCCCTTCGCTCACTCAGGATATCACTGCCACAATGCTAGCACTATTTTTAAAGTGGGCGGAGCTCTGGGGAAACCCAGCGAATGGAGATTCGTAAACAGCGAATGATTTGAAAGTAGTAAATGGGCGCACAATACGTGTACTATTTCGTATCACTATTTTATCAAATTTTTCATAAAATAATGGTTGGATTTTTAATATCTTTGCAACTTTTATTAGTCCAAATCTTATTACAGAGGATACGAGTAACGTGGCCACTGTAAAACTTGTAGTAAAAAAGCATTACAAATTGTAACAAAAATCTGCTTGTGGCAGTGGTAGATTGAGCCCATGAGCGAGTGCGCCATCTGTCGTGGAGTTTGTCTCATGACCTCACCTCACGGGATGCCATTGAACTACAACGTTCACGATGCAAACACCAATAAACGCAACCACAAAGAAACCCATAGCACGTCTACAGCTAACACTCACACACAATAGGTGACAGACAGCTCGACTCAGATTTAATAGCGTTTCTCTTGCTATCACAAGCTTCCCATCATGCAGGGTTCATAGTAGTAAGACACATGTTGAAATAAGGACTTTATAAGACCCTTTCTGGAGGCCAAAATAAGAGTTTTTTACGTGACTATTAAAGTACACTAATAATATTTATATACACAATTGCACAGCAGATTTCATTATTTCGTATTATATAATACAACAATTCTTACTCTAAGTCGAGAACAGTTTATAAAACAATTGGTCCTTTGGCCAAAAATAAGGACTATTAAGTACTTTTCTAAGATTTCACCAAAAACAAGTACTAATAAGGGCCCTTAATTTATTTTTGGCAAAATAAGTACTTATAAGACTTTGGAAGACCCGCTACAAACCCTGTCATGGGGGACCAATAAAGGAACTACTTACATTCATGAGCAATTCGTCTGACGAGAATAGCTTACGATTAGATACGGATACCGTAGATAGAGTTACTGTTAGAATACTGCCGGACCTACATGAACCGGCGGCTATCACATAGAAATCGCGTCATAGAAATACGAATACCGTAGATAGTTAGATTACTGCTGGACCTACACGAACCGGCTTAGGGCCATAATAAAAATATAGTTTGTTTGCTCTCACTTGACCGACCCGCCAAAAAGGGTCCGTTTTTTGTTGATCTTTCCCTTTTTTTTTAAACAAATTGTATCACTCACTGTACATTATATCAAGAGCGTATAACAAGAAGGAGAGCGTACAATTGTAAAATGCTGAAACCATGTTGCAGTATTAGACGAATTAATAAACTTTTCCCGTTTTATTTTGACGATTCTTTGCAGTATTATTGATCAGCTGTCCTACCTTGTTCATATAAAACAAACCGCATGTCCCTACGATGCCCATACGCTGAGATAATGAGCGGTGAAAATCTGGTATTTTCGCCGAAAACCGACTCGAGATCAGTCAATACGGCGTCCCTCACTCAAAGTGTTATAACTTCGGTAAACCCCGCGTGTTTCCGTCAATGATTGACAAATGGAATGAATGACGTCTGTTATTGATTGCCATAGTGATGACCCCCACCTGTGCCCACCTCACGCCCACCTCACGCTGGATGTATAGTAAACTCTGGTAGTATTACGTGAGTCAGCGCCACTATGGCGCTACACAGCGGCGACCGGAATCAACACACTGGAAACACTTTGAGTGAGGGACGCAGTATTGACTGATCTCGAGTCGGTTTTCGGCGAAAATACCAGATTTTCTCATTATCTCAGCGTAGGGGCATCGTAGGGACATGCGGTTTGTTTTATATGAACAAGGTAGGACAGCTGATCAATAATACTGCAAAGGATCGTCAAAATAAAACAGGAAAAGTTTATTAATTCGTCTAATACTGCAACATGATTTCAGCATTTTACCGTTGTACGCTCTCCTTCTTTATACGCTCTTGATTATATAAATCTGTAGGCAATACATTATATGTACCAAGCAAAACAAACATTCAACATAAAACGTATCTCCACATGCTGAATTTATAAAAATGGGGGTAGATCACCCCCCCCCCCTCAAAAAAGAAGCCTACCTACCTACCCAAACTTTTCAGCCTGGGTCGGGTGAGGGCAAACAAATATTCTTTTAATTGTGACAGGCTATCGCATAGAAATCGCGTCCCAAGTGAGCGCGAGAAGTAATCGCACCTGAAAAATGCGTGAAGAAGCAGATGTTGGTGAGGGTCAGGCGAAGGTCGCCGGTCACCGAGCTGAGCTTGATCGAGTTCTTGTACTCGAGTTCTCCTCCCGCCAGCAGATCCGCAAAGGTCTCCCTGCAACGAGAAACCCTGCTATCAATCACCCACATATACGCCCCACCGTCAACCACCCACACGTACACCACTATCAACCACCCACATATATGCCCCACCGTCAACCACCCACATATACACCCCCCACTATCAACCACCCACACGTACACCCCATCGTCAACCACCCACACGTACACCCCACTATCAACCACCCACACGTACACCCCACTATCAACCACCATATAACCAACCTATACAATTCAGCAATACCAAATTGGGCAAATAGAACAGGCTCTAATCGCCCAACCAGTTGTTAGTAAACAGTTGCTCGCGCGACTTTTGCGTTTACACTGCCGATTGTCGGTTGAACAACTGCAAAGTTCGTACAATTCGCCAATTTCACTGCGTACAGTCGGTAGCGTAAACCCAGCTTAACGGGAACACAGCTCTTCCTGTTGCGAAAACAAACACGGCCAAACATTCACACCGACGCGTTTCCAGTCACGGGAACACGCTCAATACGCTTGCATGAGTCGGCATGGGACGATGTCATGTGTTGAGAACGGACGGGAATTTTGTTGGGAATAGTTCCGAAACGTTCTTTTTCGTCTTCGCCGAGGAGTAACCAATGCTAAGTACAGAGACTTGTATTCCTAGATAGTATTATCGCATATATTATGAAGTTTAAAAGTGCTCAACTCAAGGTATCAAAAAGCTACGAGGATAGCTTGACTGATTGTAGGTCGAGTTCAAATAATTTAAAATCGATAATCGTAATGAATAATAAATAATTCAATAGCATTTGATCCTGCAAAAAGTATGTCACACCCACAACCCATACGTACGTAAAATAATGTGAAATCTATTCACTGACACTGTTTCTCAGATTAACAACGAGTAAAGCTTTCAACAAAAGGTCTGTGTACCTGTCGTGTGGGGTAGGTAACGTGAACGCCGAACAAGGCAATCCAAGTTTGAAGTCGAGTTTGTCATGATTGGTCGACCCATCCTCCGTCTGCATGAAAGGACAAGCAACGTCATATCATAATGTAAACTTCACAAACCTGAACGTAGATGTATTCTAATAATATTGTAAGAGAGAAGAAGATATCTCACAGATGTCACAGATGTGAAGAATGTTAACGATTAAGATCAGGTCACTATGGCTTTAGCACATTTAATAACTTATAATGAGAATGAAATCCAATATGACTGCTGTATGGCAACATGCATACCTGTGAACATGTCACAAGTAAAAAAATAAAAAGCTCATCAAACAACTGAATACGAGCCACAAGTCTGGGACCCAGTGCCAGATAACACATTATTCTTAACACAAACTTGTACACTCTACACACTGCGTATGAGAATCACGAAACTTTACTGTGTTTCTGCCAACATTCTACGAGAGAAAGTTAATGTCAGGACTAGCGTTAAATCGAATTCAATTCTAACAGCAGCTAGGCCCCTGACACGCAATTAACAAGGTTGGTACTACTCGGTCGTAGTATGGCTGAGAGGGTCTATGTTCCCCAGGGTACTGCCGGAACGTACCCTGGTACTATCTAATATGCCGGACCGTACCTCGCCTACTCCACTAACGAGTCTAGGGAGTCGCCTACGCCCACTCCCTACCCCTAACCATATCAGATAGTTACCAAGGTACGTTCCGGTATACCGGACAATACCCAGGGTACGTTCCGGCAGTACCCTGGGGGACATAGACCCTATGAGTCGTAGTAGCACTACACAACACTCGCAGTCGTCGACACAAAACCACCGAACGAATGATAAACGAATCGCGGCGGCGCAACAAGAGAGCATACCGCGATGAAGTAGGTCAGAGTGCCTCTGAGTTTCTGCGGATGATTGATTGTCTGCACGGTGAAGGCAAACTGGCCCTGGTTGCTCGAGCCGGCCGGAAGCTGGAATGGCACCTTTACACCGTCGCACTGGTCCTGAAAGCACACATGTACGCATGTTCACTCGCACCGCACACACCTGCGCAACAATCGCGCGAATGTCCCTGCTTGTGAAATTTTGGAAAAATATCAATGCCAATTGCTCCCGAATCCCAGAGGAGAAGTCTTCATTTGCAAAAACATCAAAAATTGTCAAAGTCAGTGATCACGCCTCCCAGATGAACGGATTCCGTGTTTCTGCGAAAACTATCGCGAACACCAATACTGGGCATCCCTGAATCATCATCATTTGCAAAAATGCCACAAACATAAATACCAATGCTCAAATTCCCAAAGGAGGACCCCCCTCTACCCCCCCCCCCGCTAAAATTTCGAAAACACCACCATCATCGGCCACCCTTGAAAACCCACCAAAAAATTGTTTGTTTCCCCTTTACCTACTCGCCTCTCAGGGTACCGAGTAGGTAGGTAGGTGAAAAATCTTTTTATTTTGTTTTGACAAGATGTGTGTATGTATATTGTATATTCTGTTTTGTGTATATGTTTTTGCAGAAGCAATTTGATTTTTTTTTTGGCGAAACGAAATAATTGTTGTTTTGTTTTAATAGGCCAATAAAATGTGTCGAGTAGCGGCGTTTTGGCGAGTCGGTCGGTAAAGGGAAAAACAAGCAATATTTTATCTTAGGCCTCATTCCCTGATTCCCTACTTGCAAAAACCCCACAAACATCGATGCACTGCAAATTCAAAAAGAAGGATTCGCTCGTCTTCGAAAAAAACATCGCGCACACCTCCCCTGCTGACTCACACAACCCCGTGACGCCGCCGACTACGAAAGATACCGCAGACGCCCACAACGACCCCGCGACTCACCCCTCGTATGAGTTTCGTGTTGAGCGAGTCCAGCACGTTGAAGTCCAACTGCTTGATGTGGTACGGCGTCAGGTTGGTGAAGACGACGGACACTATCACCCGATGCTTCTGCGTCGCGTCCACTCTCGTCTCGTACGTCTGCGGGTAGAGCAGGAAGCGAGAAACGATCACGTCACATCCGCCGGAACGCACACGCAGGTACGTCACGGCGAGGCATGCAGGCACGCGCGCAGCGCACGCAGGCACGGCAGACACGCAGCAGACACGACAGACACGCAGGCAGACGCGCAGACACGCACCGCAGACACAAGACACGGCGCGATCATAGATCCCACGCCAGACACAGCAGGCACGCGTGCAGACACGGCCAGGCACGCCGTGCAGACACGCAGACACGCACATCCAGACCCCCGCACGCAGACACGCAAGCTTCGCAGACAGCCCACGACACCGACGCAGCACACGCAGGCATGGCAGACACGCAGTGTACGCCACGCAGCACACGCAGGCACCGCGTGCAGACACCAGACATGCACACGTGCAGACAGCCAGACACGCAGGCAGACATCAGACGACGCGTTGTATGAACGCACTGCAGACAACCAGCAACGCACACAGACACGGCAGACACGCGTGGCAGACACGCACGCCAGGCACTACAGACACCACATGGCAGGCACAAAGACACGCACAGTCAGGCACGGCAGGCGACGCATGCCAGCAACGGCCGTCAGACCACGGCACAGCCATGCAGGCACGCTCGGAGGCGGCGTGCAGACACGCAGCCAGGCACGCAGGCACGCGTGGCAACCACGCACGGCAGGCACACAGACACGCATGCGTGCAGACACGCATGCGCAGGCACACCAGATCACGCATGCAGGCACGCACAGCAGGCGCAGCGTGCAGGCACGCACGCAGGCGATGACAGGTACGACACAGCGCAGGCAGGCGACACGCAGGCCACCGGAAGCACAGGGGCAGGGCAGCACCGCAGGCACGAACACAGGGCGGAAACCGAAAGTCCGGTTGTTGGTCCTCAGGCCAACGCACGACGCAGGCAACGAATCAACAGGGGCAACGAACTACAGGCCACGCACGCATGCACACAGCACAGCCAGCAGGTACGCTGACAGCTTCAACAAGTCATCACGTGAACGCGGAGGCGCTACCCGGCGCTGCTTCAGGTAACAGCATTCCGGCAACGTTCAACGCGCGCGTGCTTCTGCGCTGTCCAGAGCGAGAACATGACGAACTGCCCGATAGTTCGAGTAACTCTACGAAATAGACCTCCCGTTACGAATGGATTTCCGCTCTCTCGCTTGCTCGGTCTCATCCTCGTTATCACACCCGTTACCACACCCGTCTCACGCACCACCGTTACCACAGATCCCCGTCCTACGCACCACGTTATCACACACCGTTAGCGAACACCGGCCCGTTACCTAGCAGATACACCGCGTTACCACACCCGTTAGCCGACACACGTTATCACACGCGCGTTACCACACACGTTATCACACACGTTATCACAAGCCCGTTCATCCACACACGTTATCACACCGCGTTACACAAACCGTTATCACACAGACGTATCACAGGCACCCGTTATCACATCCGTTCATCAGCCACACTCACAGCAGCACACCACCCGAGCACACACACCGAGCACACACAACACACACACACACACACACACACACACCACACACAAGACGCGCTCGCATCCGTTCTCCTTGCACGCACTTGACGTTGCTGTTCTCCCAGCAGACGAAGCTGGACCCTCGACAGCGACCTGCTCGTGCTGACGACGGGAAGTTCGTGCGGCGTCCACACCACACACGTCACGCGCACCGCGGGGGCGCCCGCGCGCACGCTGGCAGGGCTGCACGCGGCACTATGCGGCACCAGCGCGGACACCGCGCACGCGACAGCACCGAGCGGCTGACGCACTGCACTGCACGCACACACAAGCTGGGCACACACAACACGCCGCACAACACACACACACCAACTGCACACACACACACACACACACACGCCTCGCTTGTTCGTGTCTCTCACCAGCTTGACGTTGCTGTTCTCTCCCAGCAGACGGAAGCTGGACATGACAGCGACCTGCTCCGTGCTGACGACGGGAGTCTGCGGAGTCGCGCCGTTAAAGATCTCCTTCGACGGCGCTCGTGATTCCGCTGGCGCCGGCCTCCTTCGTATCTCCCGCCTTTGTCGCGATGAAGCCTCGGCTGGCTCTCAGCTCCGCCTTCTTCTCTCTCGGCGCGTCACGGCCCTCCTGCTGCCTGGCCGCCTTCTCCTTTCTTCGTCTTGCATTCATTGGCGACTATCTTCTTCGATTTCTGGAGAAGCGAAGTGACGTGGTTAGGTGGGGAGCGCTGATACTTCACGAGTGATAGCGGAGAACACTTTTAAAATGTTCGATTGAAAAAACCTGGAGATGCTGATTGTCGGAGAATTCTTTACGACTGATAACTGGAAGGTATTTATGGTGATAGTAGATGACAGGGGAAGAGAAGTGACAGGCGGTTCTATACGTGAGGTTTAGTGGAGAGCGTTGATACTTCACGAGTACCGTGAGGTGGCGAAACACTTTAAATGTCGATGAAAAACCTGGCAGATGCTGGATTGTGGAGAATCTTTTACGACTGATAACTGAATATTATGTGATAGTAGATGACAGGGTTTCTTATACATAAGCGCCACAGTGGTGCACTGCTGTTGTCAAATTTAACATCGCTGCTGTGAAAATGCTAACAGAGTAAGGTTTAAATTAAAATTTTATTTTCAGGGTGCCTCAAATGCAGACATTCAAATTTTTAAAAACTCCCCAGCAAGAGGGGGACTTCCCCTTCTCCCTCACTCCCCCCCCCCCGTGTCCACCTGCAGAGTCCACCTACAGCACGCCTTTAAATCCATCATGCGTTTTTTTTCTCAAACTGCCCATTACCTCCTTTGCATAATTTACCCTCGGAAGAACCGTTAGTAATTCTAAATTCTAATTCTAAAACCCTAACCCTAACCCTTTGCATAATTTACCCTCGGAAGAACCCCTGAGATTACTTGGGGAAACAAAGCGACGCGGTTAGGCGGAGGTCATACGCTGATGCTCCACGAGCGGACCGAAAAACCACTTCAAACGGCGGGACGTAGACAATCATTCACGACCGATAACCGAGTGTTTAGAGATAGCAGACGACTAGTATACTCAGTATTCAAGAGCTTCACAGGTTGCGAATTAATCAAGGTGAGATCCATTAATGCCGCGATTGTATGCAGCGAATTATTTGCTGATGAAAAATTGGATAGAAACTTCAATCTGTTAGAGAGCAAATACAACGCATAGACATTGAATGGCACGGTACTGAAACCCGATAAAAAACTAGCCCATGTCGCAAAAACCCAGCTAGGCTGTACTGAAATAAGTGGTGATCGAGTACTTCGAAAGCAAACTATATAGTTAGGATTTATCAGAATAAAACTGCATTTCCTCTAAAAATAAGTCAGTAAATCGGAGATCCTTCCCCCCCCCCTGCTCAACCTTCACCGCGGGCAGCACACCTTTCCAACATCCACATCATCCTCGGCCGGTCTCGTTTCCACGGTAACCGGCAAGCTATTGGGTGGCTCGGCTGGCCTATTGTTGAGTGATATTGTTGGCGTCGGCATCGCTGCTGCCGGTGGCGCCACCTTGCTGTCCTGCTGTGCAGCGTCCACACCCGACAGCCAGAACTCAATGTCATCCATCTGAAATCCAAGGTCAATGAGCAATCATGTAGACATCGCATGGTTATATAGATCGATGAAGTTGCCGTATAGAAGGTAATGATTGCGCCATGTAGAAGTGAATGACAACGTTGCCTTATCACAATCTTAAATAGTTAGTATGACTGAATCGATCCCAGTACATTATTTTCACAACAATGTGACACAATTACTTCACATTTCTATGGGCATTTCACATTTCTAATCATTCACATCTCCCCCTCTCTCTCTCTCTCTCTCTCTCTCTCTCTCTCATTTCTACGTTCTTTCTAGCTTTTTTTCTTTCGTTCGTGTTCATTTCTAATTTCACATCTCTGCTGACATGAGAGAGATGATGACAATCTATGCTAACACGACCAGACTGCAACCTGCTCTTCCACGACAATTAAACTAAAAACGATCGGTGCGTGTACGTGGCTCAGAGGATTCCTACACCCTTGGCAGGCTACATCCATTTTATCTACAGATGAACCTAATTTGCAGACGTGGCAGTACAAGGGTGTACAAGGGTGTACAAAGGTGTAAAAGAGAGTACAAGGGTGTACAAGAAAGTACAAAGGTGTACAAGGATGTAAAAGAGAGTACAAAGGTGTACAAGAGAGTACAAGGGTGTACAAAGGTGTACAAGAGAGTACAAGGGTGTACAAGAGTGTACAAGAGAGTACAAAGGAGTACAAGAAATACAAGAGTACAAGAGAAACAATAGTACAAGAGTATAAGGGAGTATAAGGGAGTAAAAGAGAGTACAACACAGTACAAGACAGTACAAGACAGTACAATAAAGTACAGGAGATACAATAAAGTACAAGAGAGTACCTGAAATACAAGAGTACAAGATAGTACAAGGGAGTACAAGAAATACAAGAGTACAAGAGCTATAAGGGAGTACAAGAGTACAAGAGAGTACAAGAGATACAAGGATGTACAAGGGAGTGCAAGAAATACAAGAGATACAAGGGAGTACAAGAATATATATGGTACACACTTTCTTCTCGTCCAAGCCGACGTGGTTCTCATCTGGAAGATCAGTGGTTGTTACCTCGGTCGACTCAGTCCTACGCTTCTTCTTGTGTTTCTAAACAAAACACCCGCACAAGTTAAAGGTGCCTTCCCTCAAACTTTCAAACATAAAATCAGGCAAAAATAAATTATTTTAACATTGCACGCTTCTACTTGCCTATATATGTGTGATAGGTGAAAAAAAATTGCTCAGAAATACGTTCATTCAAAGCTTTTAAACTACAAAGTGAAACGTTCGGGTCAAATGTTTCGAACGCGTTTACCGTTGCCGCTATGCGGCGATTGTTCCGCTCTAGCCAAGGGTCATAAGCCTAGGGTATACGTATAGACATTAATTGTTGACATGTTTATTGATTCAAACGAATTCCTGACATCTTCACTGCATAATTGTCAGTAGAAAAGATTAGTGAACAGATTAATTAATAGATTTGTAACGTAGGTGGTGTAACCATTCTTGTTATGTTCAACAGACGCGATATCAGACCAGCACATTAAAGAAATCTGTTTCAAAGAATTCTGAATTCGTGGCTGTAGTTCATTTGAACCACATCCGTATCAATATCGCAATGCGACCCTCCCCTAAAAAACCCTAACCCTACCTTCTCTCGCTTGTGCTTCTTCTCCGTCTCCTTCTTGCTATGATGCTTCTTCTTCACCTTCTCGAACACCGGGGGTGGCGTGGAGGGCGTGGCGGTGGGTGTGTTTGCAGTGAGCACGCCGACCGTGGGTGCTGCATACGTCGCCACCCTTAGCTTCTCTGAGTCATCGAGGGGGCTGCGAAGCGGTAACCGTTACAGTACCCGTGACTCGACGAGCGAATAAAGATTCTCCCACGAAATCAATTAAAGATAAATTGTTAATTAATAATTAATAATAATTAATAATAATTAATAATAATTAACAATTAATTATAATTATTATTTTATTAGAAGTCGATGCGTCAAGCACGAATCGGATGTAAATATACAAGATACATCGCCCTCGCTACCCACTCGTCAATTCGCCAATGGCGAACAAATTAGTAATCTGGCGATTGAAAGTCTTATTTGGCGAAAAAAATGTCTAACGTAATTTTCCCAGCCACATGACATAAAACGCAGTAAACATAAAGGCAGTAAACATGACCCAGCAAACATCGATCCTATTTGATCGTCGAAACAGCAACATTTTCTTTTTGCGTGCCGGCACACTCCTGTGTCATTCCCGATTGCAGCTTTTTCCTCAAGATTCCGGGAGTTTTGCTGTCGCTCCCTCATACCAGCGCGGTGCCCACCCCTACATATACAGCAATAACCACACCCACGCGACTGTAACAATCAGTGCATTCGCCCCCACCCCCCCGTACTTCAATCAATGCCGCCTAGCCAGCAAGCACGAGCCACAACGTGCACAGCCACGGACGTGGGTAACTGGTGTCGCGGGCTGTTTTTTTTCGTTTTTTTTTTCTTTGGCGTGAATGCGTGAGTGCGGGAGAATGGGTCCATATGCGTGAGTCTCCCGCGAAATGCGCAGCATGAGACTTACTACGTCTGCTAACAGAATCCACATTCGTGCCTACTGCGCGCCTTTGAGTCCATCATGTGCGTTTTTCCCCAAACTGGGCATTACCACCGTTGTCTAATTTTCCCTCAGAAGTTCTAAACCCTGGGGTTTAAAAAAGGCCTGTCTCCACATACATGGCAACGGCGCTGGCAAAAGTCAAATGATTTTTACTACGCGTGTGCGTGCATGTGTGTGTGCGCGCGTGAGTGCGTGTAGGTGTGTGTTTGTGTGTGTAGTACTGTGTACTGTGTGTGAGGTACTGTAAAAAGTAGTAAAACTGATAAGTACTAACTGGGGAATATAGTCAGCTTTGATGAGCAGCTAATTTTTCTGGTTCAATAGCATCACGAAGTTACAAAAGTAGTAGAGTATATGCATGTGCTGTGAAAACTCTTCTGTAAACTATTAGTATTACTGTAAATAACTATACGGTGTGTATAGTACTGTCTATACTGTACTGCGCGCGTGCGTGCGTGCGCGTGCGTGCGTATGTGCGTGCGTGTGTATTGTGCGTGAGGTACTGTAACAAGAGCCGCAGAGCGTCTGGGCTCATCTGAGGTCTGTTGCTACGATTATTTATATAAACGTAAAATATTATGCAGATCGTGCCGTATACCAATTTGACATTAGGCGCAGATATGCCAGACAACGCAGTTGCCGGTAACAACACATCAATTGTTAGGAATACGCCCACCTATGCGCAGATGGAGGGTAGGGGGAGGGTGGGGGGAGAAAGGTGGGGGAGTGGTGGAGGAAGGGGCGGGGGAGGGGGTGGGGGAGGGGGAAGGGGGAGGGTATGGGGGAGGGGCTCTAAATCAGCAAACAGGCATTCACTCCCTTTGTCACCAGTCAACAATCCATAGTTTAAGCCCCTCCAGTGAGGTCAAAAGGTTATCCGACCACTTACTCTTCGCATGTTATACAGCCAGCAACGGGACATTTCATGGTCCTCTTCCAAAAAGCCATACAAAATGCTCTATCACCGGCGAAACGGAAAAAAGTCTCTTTCAATGCGCTCCGTCAGACAATGTCCTCCAGAAAAATGTCTAACAATCGGGTGCCGCTGTGCCCATTGACCTGTGACCTGTGAAAAACCTCCAATTTCCGGCACAGTGATGGCCTTCCTCCGCTACATGATGCTATAGCACGCTATCACGAGCCTAGGTCGAGCACGGTCTCTAAGAGTGTGCCGCAATTCTGCAAATTTCCTCCCTATAACACTTTAAGTTTAAGGAGTGAATGATTCCACCACTTCTTGTTACACCTCTTGACCTGTGACTGTACCCCCAGCTCTGTCGGACCCGGTCCAAACTCCGTTTTGGACGAATTCCCCCCAACCGACCGCGAATATTGTGACCGTCACGATCGCCGCGGCTTAAGATTTGCTGGCCAACTGTTGAACGGATCGGACGACGAATCATGCGATTCTACACACGCCTTGCCAATCATGAAGCGTATGTGCGATCACCAGCGACAAAACGTCAGCTAAAACTGATAAGCTACACTCAAAGTGGGAGAATAAACTGAATATACTTTGTGACTTCCTGTGGCATGGTCTTCAATGGCAGGGCACCCCACATCTTCCCTAAGGCCCAAACATCTCTCTAGATGGGCCCCCGCCTGTTTGTGACCCCTACCCCATTCCCACACAACAATATTCTGTGGAGGAGGGGTTTTAGCAGACACGTAATTTGGTTAAACACCAGCTCCTCAGAATAACCGCTGAAAACACAGTAAACGTGTTTCGAGTGACATTCTAACCATCAAAAATTGAGAGGCCCAGAAGAAGCGATATATTTGAACCTTTGAAAAAGTGCCGTACTGTCCAGGTCGGTGTGCCAAAAAAAAAGAATAGGAGAATATTCCTTCCCCCTGCAGGCAGTGGAAGAAAAACAAGTTCCAGACAATTTGAATGTCTCTGTCAGTCAGTCAGAGTCATGGTGGTGAATCGTAGTGTTAGTGTCTCAGTCATAGACAGGTGGTGAATAATAGTTTGTTTGCATTAAATAAGTGTAGTTTTGCACTTCATGCAAATAAAAGTTTGTGAAAAAATAAAGAAAAGAAGTTATTTATCGCCTTTTTGTGTTCATAAAATGTTAGGCTACAGATGTGGCTAACAGGAATCCAAATTGGCTAATGAAAATTGATTCTGGCTAATTGTTTGGCTACAGAAAAAAAATCCTAGCTAGGGCCTTGAAGATACGACATAATATAAACAATATTTATAAAATAACACACATGTAAGCTATGTGAGGAACAAAGTGAAGTGGTTTAACTAGGTGTTACTATAAAAGTCGTTTTACATTGCTGTTGGTAATAAGGAGGTCCACTGCCTGCAGGGATTCAACTTAGATACGATACTTGCACCTTGTCCAGCTTCCTATTGATGCGTGTTGTATAAACCACAATGAGTAGCGCAGCATGTTGCAGCATAACCTGCGAGTTTTTTTGCGCAGCACTGTTCAGCACATTAATTATACACTTACACGTCTAGATCGATATCCAGAGCCTTGTGCGGGTCATTTGTCACACCCTCATCCTCATCGTCCGTCTCTTTAGCTCCCTGAAAACACATGTGACACGTACATAGCACTAAAGCTGGCTACGGACAAAAGATGCATGCTTTTCACCTATTCACACCCCATACAACGGTCCCTTACTGCTACGTATAATGCATGCAACATTCACAAGATATTTTTAATGGGGACAAGCTACGTGAACAACAGCAATCATGAAGTTGTCATCGTTTGACATTTTGACAGTGATTCGTGCGGCGTGCACCGCGTGCGTGTAGAGAGGTGAACGAGAGACAGGCCTGTAGCTCACAGCCGTGCCTCCAGAGACCTCCGCCTTACTCTAGGAAGACCATTGAGTGGCAAGGGGAATACAAGCTGCTCTGTAAACCCAGCCACACGCTTCCAGCTAGCGGCAACTCCCTATTACTTAAATAAAGAACCTGCATAACTGATGGAAATCTGTAGGTTGAACAGATCAATAGACATAGATTCGTCAATAGATATACTGACATATTACGTCTGCCAAATTAGTTATTATTTCACCTTTTTTTTTACAATAGCATTAAATCACAGTGCCCAGCGAAGCACTGCACATCATAGTCTCGAGCGAGAAGCGAGATGAAATTAGCACTAGCATCTGTCTATGATGTGAATTGATGCTATATAGGCTGTATATAACTCACCTCAGGCAACTCTCCGACTTCTGTGTTGACAGCAAGCACCGCCGGGGGTTCCTCTTCCGTGTCGGAGTCCTCTTTACCCTTCTTCCCCTTCTTTTTCTTTTTCTTCTTCTTCTTTTTCTCTTGTGTATTAGACATTTTAATGTAGTCTTCTGACAATGGAAGCCCTGAAAAAAAAACAGAAAACGAGTTGATGCCACGGTTATCCATTGCCTTAAAAACCTTTCGTCGTGCACATAAAACAGAAATTTCGACACATTTCTGTCTGAATTTTTACTATAACTTTCGTGCCTGACTGAAGTAATGAATCATAAAGTGCACTGTAGCAAAAACATTTTTGCCCATTGCTGAATCGACATCCTACAGTGTGCAAGGAAGGCCTGGAATATCTTTGCGGGACCCAAATTCTACGTAACCACCCGATCGCTTCTCACAGCTCATTACTCTTGATGCCACTGAGCTATAAAGTCAGCGATCAAATGCTAGAGTGAGTAGCAGTAACAGCACATGTAGGACCAGTGTGACCTGCGGCCGCATCAACATCCCAGCCTGTGTCCGCACAACGTACCACAAACATAGTCTACTATACAGTCAGTGACAAACTTCTAGACTAAATAACAAAGGTACGAGCAAGGTCTCCCTAAATAAAGTCTACTATCCAGTCAGCGACAAACTTCTACAGTGAATAACAGCATCGAATCTGCGCGCGCGACTCTCATCGATCACCATCAGCAGCATAGGACAGGTCAAGCTGAAGGCACGTGCAACGTACCCCTAAATAAACTCTCCTATAAACTCTACATGCGTTTCACTTGCATGCGTTTTATCCTTATATTCCAGTTCGTAGAGTAAATAAGTGTGCGCGACTCACCTGTGATCTTCAGCGGCACGGACAGGTCGAGCTGAGTGACAGGAATGTCGTCGACGTGAGAGTTGGCGGCGTCACCGCGGCGCTTCTTGCCCGGCTTACGCACGGCGACTTCGCCGCGCAGATAGTGAGGGTTCGTCGCCTGCTCGGCCTTACGCACCTCCCGCATCTGAAAGCAATTACGTCACGGTAAAAGTTAGAAAAAAAATGTAAGTGATTCTGTTCATTTTTTTTACGGTT